ATATATATATATATATACATGTTATAATAAACAGTAGTGCACTAGTGCGTAGCAGAACATTGAAATTAATACACATATTCTGTTTCTGAACATTATCCATCATCCTGTTTTTTTTTATTTAAAACACAATGTTTCGGAGACTGGATTCTGTCTCTGTCTGTCTTCAGGTGAAACATACTCAATATGGGCCCAATCGATAGAGCTACTCCCAACCTCCGGCCCACCGTCCTGTTTTTATTTAAAATACAAAACGTCTCGAAAACTGGGATCGTCCTGTCTTTTGTTTAAAACATAAATATAAATAAATGAATTAATTTACCATCATCATGAACTTTTAGATGAAGCCGATTCCAACTCGAGGAGCCAATAGTCGCTCAGCTGCTCAAGAATTTCCCAACATTTTACGGAGCCCGATAGTTCATTACCACCTTCACAAGAACTCGCCACTGGTCCCGATCCTGAGCCAGATAAACCCAGTCTATATCCCCATCATATTTCTCTGAGATCCGTTTTAATAATATCCCAATATACCTCTATATCTTCCTAGTTGTCTTTTTCCTTCAGGTTCTAGCAAGCATTAACAGAATGTAACACGATCCTTATCCCCTCGCGAATCAAATTTGGATTTGTTAATATTACCCCCCAACATGAAGTATATGTTGCTGTCTCATTACCAAAATACGGGGCAAAATCACAACATAAAGGTAGATAATAGGTGCTTTGAAATGTGGCACAGTTCAGATATTTGGGAACAACTATAACAAATCAAAACCTGATTCAGGAGGAAATTAAGGAGACTGAACTCGGGTGATGCTTGCTACAACTCAGTTCTGCTGTCTGCTGTCCAAAAACATAAAATCAGAATATACAAAACTATAATTTCACCTGTGGTTCTGTCAGATTGTGAAACTTGGTCTCTGACATTAAAGGCGGTACACAAGCTGAGGGTGTTTGAGAACAGGGTGTTGAGGAGAATATTTGGAACGAAGAGAGATGAAGTGACAGGAGGTTGGAGAAAACTACATAATGAAAAACTTCATAATTTGTAGTCTTCTCCAAGTATAATTAGAATGGTCAAGTCGAGGAGGATGAAATGGGCAGGGCATGTAGCACGAATGGGGGAGAAAAGGAATAAACATAGGATATTGGTGGTAAAGCTGGAAGGAAGGAGACCACTAGGAAGACAATATTAAAACGGATATTAGAGAGGTAGGATAGGATGGTATGGATTGGATCGATCTGACTCAGGATAAGGGCCAGCGGAGGACTCTTGTGAACACGGTAATGAACCTTCGGGTTCCATAAAGTGCTGGGAAGTTCTTGAGTAGCAAACCAATTGGCCGCTTCTTAAGAAGTGTTTAGCTCCATGAGTAAGCGAGCTTCGAAACGCTTAAAATCGACAGCATTCATTAGCAACTTTATAGAAACTCTATTTCAGAGTTTCGTATTCTACAAATACCATCTTTTCGTGTT